CCATGGCTGTTTACCCGGCTGCATTGTGGGAGTTTGACCTCCGCCGCCGCCAACCGCCGCTCCAGCCTGCGCCGCCGCCGCGCACGCCATGGGAGCCGTGACTGACGGTGAGGCCCGCCGCCGGCCCGCGCGGCCTGGCGCCGCTCCCGGGGTCCCGCCGGCCGCCCCGCCGCGTCCCCCAGCCCCCCGGCCGCGCCGGCCGCCGCGCCCAGCCTCCGCCGCCCTCGGAGCCACGCCGACTCCCAGGCCGGCCTTCCCAGGGGCCGCGCGGGGCACCGGGAGCGGGTGCTGGGCCGGCCGTCGGGGGCCGCGGGCACACGTGGGGTCCCGAGGGCTGGGAGCCGAGCGCGGGCGCGTGGTTCCGGGGGCCGTGGAGGGAGGTCCCGGGAGCGGCGCGGGCTAGGGAGCGTGGAGGCCGGGGTCCGGGATGCCGCAGGGCCTGTGGGGTGGCTGCTTACAGGGGCTGGGCAGGAGTTCCGGGGCCTGGGGCCTGGGGGTGGCTGCTTACACCTGTAGGGTCCCTCAGACAATAGGCTGGATCGCCAGGAAGCCTTGGGATGTGGGTGGGGACAGGGGGCTGCAGCCTGGGTCCGAGAGGAATGGTTGTGAATGAGTGGGGCGGCTGGAGGGCAGTCGGAAGTGCACCTAGGAGATTCACTGGTGTGCCACTCTTATAGGTTGAGGCCACCAGGGCCATGGGGACAGTGTGTATGTGTATGTGTGTGAGAGAGAACGTGTGTGTTGGGGCGGGTGGTTTGTCAGCTGGAATGGATTGGGGAGGGCTGGTTTTGTGAGTATTTGTAAGGTGGACGGTCTAGGGACTGATCAGTAAGGGGACACTTTGGGGAATGGTGAACAGGCATGATGGGCAACTGGAGGAAGAATCTGGAAGGCTTCCTGTTAGGAAGGGAGGTTCTGGGGCACCTGGGAAGGGAAAGGCTGTTGGTCTTGATGCTATTTGTGAAGAGGCTGCTTCTGGACCCTGGGCGGAGACGGTCCCAACATTAAGGAGCTAGGCAATGGGAAGAACGAACGGGGATAGGCCAAATGTGGGGACCCGTAAGAAGTAGGTGTGTGTGGGGGGGGGCAGTTAAAGGCCAGGGACTTTCATGGGGAATTTAACTCTGCTTCATTCCAGTTCCTCTTCCTCTCTCTCTCTCTCTCTCTCTCGCGAGAGAGAGAGAGAGAGAGAGAGAGAGAATTAAACCAGGGGTGCTTGACCACTTACTGAGCCACATCCCCAGCCTTTTTAAGTATTTTATTTAGAGACAAGAATCTCACTGAGACTTAGGGCCTTCCTAAGTTGCTGAGGTTGGCTTTGAACTCGCAGTCCTCCTGCCACAGCCTCCTGAGCTGCTGGAATTATAAGTCTGCACTACCCCAGCTGGCTTCCAGTTTTGTTTATTCAGTAGATATTTACAATGCCTGGGCTAGCTAGGCCTTGCTGGGGTTTACAGCCTAGAACCAACAAGCAAGATCTTTTCCTCAGAGGTTACAGACTGGTGAGAAGGACACATTAAGTAATGAGTTGTAAGGGTTACCCGTGATACCACGCAGGAAGAGCAAACCTGGGAACTTTTGGAATAGGTTGTACACTGAGTGAGTAGGAAACCTCTGTGAAGTAATTACTCTAATCCCTTTTTTTTTTTTCCTCTAAGGATAAATAGGTATAGTTGGACTTGGTTTCCACTTGTGCAAGAGCCTAAAATATTGTAAGGAGTAAAAAATGAGAAGTATTGACTACAATTTAGAAAGTTGAACCAAAGATTTTTAACTGTAATGGGAAGCCATTAAACATTTTTGATGTGGGTCATGTAATCAGATTTGCTTTTCTTATGTTGATTTACTTTGGGCTGTGGGCTAGAGATCAAACCCAGGGTCTTGTGTGTGTTAGGCAAGCACTCTACCACCGAACTACATCCCAGCCCCAGAATTGCATTTACCCCCCCCCCACACACACACACACACACATCACTGTACTGTGTGAAGCATGTTGAGGAAAAGTTGAGGTGCTAAGTAAATTCCCTGTCCCTTACTAACATGTATATTGTACTTACACTATGTATCAGGCACTTTTCTAATTATTGCCCCCCTTTACAGATGGAACTGGAACCCAAAGAGATTAAGTAGCTTGTCTGAAGTCTCACAGGTAGTAGGTTAGAAAGCCTGGGCCTCAAACCAGGCAGACGGTTCCAGAGTTCCTGCTCTTCACTCTTACGATGGTCCAAGTGAGAGGTAATGGGGCCTTGGACCAGGATGGGACTGACTAAGAGGGAATGCGGAGAAGTGGACAGGTTGGGAGGTATAAGGTAGGGTGCCAGGGCTTCAGTGCCTGAGTGAGCGTGGAAGGGGAGAGTCAGGATGATCCCACGTTGTGACTGGAGTGACTCTAGGGCTACTTCTATATTTATTGAGAAATAGCACTCCAAAGGAGAGGTATTTTGTAAATGGGAGATGGAAAGGAGATGAGTTCTGGTAAATGTACTGCAGTCAAGTGCCCCTACATCCTTTGAGACCATGAAAATCCCCACTCTGTCACTAATATAAAGTGTCTGACCTCAGGCAGGTTACTTAGCTTCTTTGAACCTCAGCTTTTTTCTCTGTAAATGAAGATGGTGAAATCCACCTCGGAGGGTTGTTTTGAAGGTGAAATGCAGTAAAAGCCTTTGCACTGAATCCAGTACATAGTAACGTTCGGTAAATATTAAATATGAGTTGTTTACTAACCTCTGTTCTACTCTCCTATGATGAGATCTGTGCCCTCTCCATCTTTGAATCTGCTTGTATTTCCCTTCCCTGACTTTTCTGCTCTTGGGGAGAAAAATGAGCTGAAATGAGTAATATTTGTGATTAGTCAACAAGTAAGTGTTTCAGACCTTCTAAACACAACAGAGGAGGGAGGGCCCCGACTTCTGCTTAAGGGAGAGAGGTAATAGCATGCCATCAAATAAGTAAATAAGATAATTTCTGAGAAGAAGCATAATTAAGTTTTGAGAATGAATTTGATGGAATGATGATAAAGTAATGGGGGTGGAGCTGCCAACAATTAGGATAAAATACGTTGATCAGGTATGATGTCTCTGAAAGCTGACATTTAAAGTGAGATCTGAAAAGATCAACCATGTGAAGCACCCAAGAAAGTATTTCAGGTAGCGGCAAAGGCCTGAGGTGACAACAGACTGTACCTCTTGGGTGAAGATGAGGAAGGCCAATTGGGGTGTACCCAGGGAGAGGGATGTAAAGGGAGGGAAGCCAAGTGGAGCTCCTGATGAACTGTGTAGGCTATGGAAGGGACGGATTGTCCTCTGGGCACCTGGCAATGATTGGAGGATTTTAAGTAGAGAGTCAATGATCACTTCATCTTTTAGATCATTCTCAGTTGCTGGGTAGTGAGTGCATTCTAGAAAGCCCAGAATGGAAGCTGGGAGCCCAATGTGAAGTATTTGATGTGAAAGACATGGGCTTGGGTTGGTGACGTCAGAAGAGAGGACAGTGAGCAGTGGAAGTTTTTGATATTCTGAAAACCTCTTAGAGGAGGACCAGTATTTGTCCCTGGTGCTTAGATGAGAGCCAGTGTGAGCTGGGTCCGGCAGGGGCTGAGCCAGGAGGAATGCAAGTTTGAAGCCTCAGCAACTTAGGCCCTGAGCAACTTAGTGAAACACTATCTCAAAATAAAAAATAAAAAGGTCTGGAGATGTAGCTCAGTGCTAAAGAGCCCTGGATTCAATCCTTAGTACCAAAACAACAACAACAAAACAGTATCCTTTTAAAACTGGGGTACCTGGTTAGCTTTGTCCTCATGCAGTCCTTACGTCTGCATATGCATATACAGAAGCCCTTTATTTCTGCACCTAATTTGAGGAAGAACACTGCCTCTGAAGGAAGTAGAGAGGAGCACTATGTTGCCATCTGTAGATATTGGACTATAGATGTTATCACCAGCATTGTCATTTTATTTGGGGTGGGGGAGAATATTGGGAATTGAACCCATGGTTACTCAGTGGCTTAACCACTGAGCCACATCCCCAGTCCTTTTTATATTTTATTTAGAGAAGGGATCTCACTGAGTTGCTTAGAGCCTCTCTAAGTTGCTGAGGCTGGCTTTGAACTCACAATCCCCGCTCCCTCAGTCTCCTGAGCCACTGGGAGCATTGTCATTTTATAGATGAAAGAGTGGAAGTCCTGGAAAGTTACTGTCAAATTCCTTTATTCTCTCTCCCCTGATGTCACCATATCATTTTGGCTAACTGAAAAATAGTTTGGATGTTGTCACTGTTAATTTAAAATATGTTAACAGTTTGTATCTTGGAGGTGTTAATTTAAAGAGTGTTAAACAGTGTTAGTACCCTGTTAAAAATCATTTTAAAAGCACTTTTTGCAGTACAGAGAACATTAGGTAGATCATTGATATGCCAGAGCAACAGATGGGAGACGAGAAGGGGAGTGGGGTCATCTCTACGTTCCATTTAATAGAGCTTGTTGGTTTTGACAACAGATTTTTTTTTTTAATCAGAAAGGTGTAATGCATGGATATATGCTTGTTAAAATTTGAAATAATGATTTTAATATGCCTATAAACAATATGACAGAATAACGGAACTGCACTATAACCATATAATAATGTAATTCTGTATATTTTGTTATGAATACAGAGGTGACACCAGTCACCTATAAAAGAAAGATAATAGCACACTTTACAGGGTGTTTCAAGGATGAAGTGTGATACCACATGTAAAAGCCCTTTGAAATTGAGTGACCATTTAGTAGCCAAGCCAGGACACTTTTCAGAGTGAAAGGAGACACATGGGATGTATGTTCACCAAGAAGTGTGTGAACAGCGCTTAAGTATTTGCTGCTGCTATTGGTGGGACAAAAATGGATTCCCTTTCTTTTTCCACCAGTGCCAGTAGATTTGTCCAGCTTATTCCATAATCCACTATTCCAGCAAGAGGATAACTAATGTACTTCAACTGTTTCATATTTCTTTAGCCCAAATAGATAAACAAGTTTGGCACTCCATCCTTGAGATGCACCATATTCTAAGCATTGAGACAGAAAAACAGAAGATCCCCACACTGTTTTTTTGCTTTTTTAAAAAAAAAATTTT